AGCCTCCCTGGGATATGGGAAGGTGCCAGAGAGAGTTTGCAGAGGGGGTTCATGGTACAGAGATGCTCCTGAAGAATTTTCCCTCCTCTTCATATCTGCCTCTACTCCAAAAAGCCACAGTGACCAGCAGGGGAGAGAACCTGCCTCCCACACACCACTTACACCCATCCTCCTCATTCAGTCAGGACCAGAGAAAACATTTCAGCTCCCCTGTGCTCATGCTCCAGCTGCAAGATCTATCAAGCAAGTGGAACCAGTTCCACGCTGCCATCTCCCACTGGCTGAGCACTGGGATGCAGCCTGGTTTGCTGTGGGTGACTGCTGGACAGCCATCCACGGCAGCAGGAGCTGCTCTCCCCTCCTGTCCAGCCTTCCCCATGCAGGGTTTTTGCTGCCTGAAACAGCAACAAGACCCTGGGTGTGGTTCAGCCCCTGCATGGCTGTGTCAGAGGGTCTGACACAGACCCTGCCTGCCTGCTCGGCGGTTTGTCCATCTCCCCCCAGCTCCAGGGGCTCCGTGTGAGCCCAGACAGCTGCCCCACACCGAGCTCGATCCCCCACGTCCCAAAGACCCCATTAACACCTCTGCAGCTCTGGCACACGCGACAGCATCCAGCTCGGAGGGAGCCCCTCTCCGCCGCCAACCCGACTTGAGAAAAATCCTAATTATCCGTCAGTTACCAGCTGGCTGGCGTGGCGAGGGGCTGCGGCGAGAAAACAGCAGCGATGGGCTGCGGCTGCAGCGTGTCCGGGCAGCTCCGGGCAGCGGAGCCGCGGTGCCCCGGCGGCCGGGCAGGATGCCGGCGTGCCCCGTCTTGCCGTGCCGCAGCTCCCGGGGCTCAGCCGGAGCAGCCTGCCAGAGGGGGGCTTCCAACCCGCAGGGAAAAACTTATTTTCGGCATCTGGCCGTTGGTCTCTGTGATAAGAAGGCCATTAAAAATGAAAAGGGAGGTGGTAGCAGATTGGAGGGCTTCCCGCAGGACGGGCTGGTGAGGCTGCTGCTGTCCAGAGCTGGTCAGAGCTCAGGCCGGGGGCTGGGACACCAGTGTCACCCACTGCTGCCCAGAGTCCCTCTGACAGGACAGAGCTGCGTAATGCCTGTCCCAAGGCTTCACCCTTCTCCATTCACCTTTTTTCTAAAATTAGAAATTCAGCATTTTGAAGCAAGAGAGAGCAGCTGATGATGTTCTGGTCACCCTGCCCACATTGCTACCCTCAACCCCCTTCCTCTTCCTCCTGCATTGAGTCAAGGGTGTCTGCTAAAGCACATCTTATCTCTGGAGAGATATGCAGACTCCTCATTTGAATCCTTCAGGAGTTGGGAGAATCCACCACATTCCTTGGTAAATTGTTCCTATGGTTAATTATCCTCACTGCTAAAAAAAAAAAAAAATATACCTCCTTGTTTCTAGTTTGAATTTGCCTGGCTTCAGCTTCCAAGTGCTGGATCTCATTATGTCTTTTGCTATTAGATTAAAGAGCTGGCTGCTATCAGGAACCACCTCCTGGGCACACCATGGTCGAGCCCCCTTGCTCTTCTTGGGGGAAACCTCCATGCACAACGTTTCTGAGGTATTGCTCTACAAGGCATCTGTTCCAAACTGTTCATTTTCTTCACATCTCCCTCCCAGGCTGTGTCTGTTTTGTCAACACAGGGTTTGAAGTGTGGACAGGAGCACTGTGTGTGGACAGGGCTTGGGGACACCCCTGCCCAGGTGACACTGATTTGCACAGCCCTGCAGAGCAAGGGCTTGTCCAGCACCCTAAAGGGGCCAGCTCACCTGTCCTTAGGATCCTCCTCTCCTACTGAGGGAGAATGGATAATGCCACATCCCCCAGAGGGATTCAAGTCAAAATCCTTCAAAACCAGGAGACCATTGGGATACACACTTCCATCAACCAAAGCTCGTGGCTATATCAAAAAATGATGCCAAATCTTTTGACAAGATGACTCACGGAAACCATTTGTTTTGGCATTGCCTGCTCACCAGCTGTCCTTTCCTCTGTGGCCAGATCCTCCATGATTCAACCCCAGATTGCAGGAGACCTTCAGCTGAGACTCCTTCCAGTGCAGCAGACCCCTCAAAGCTCCAAAATGCTGCCCAGCGTGTTGGCTCTGCTGAGCTTATGATCAGTGCCTGGTGGAAATTAATCAACCATCCTGGCATGAATTATTGGGTGCAGCAAAGCTCAGCGTATCCAAAAGCCACGAGGCTTCCCCAGGAGGAACAGGCTGGGTTGGTTCTTCCCAAGTGCTGTCCCAAAGCAGAGCACCAGGATGGTTGATGCTGTTTGGCAAGGTGTGGCCATCCCTGCTGTCAGATGTCCCTTTCTGTCCCCAGCCCTGCTGACCAGACATTTACCTTCTCTTCCTAAGTGCCTGCATTTCCCAATGGCTTTTCCTTACCTTAGGTGTGTGTTCCCAGCTCCTGTGGAGGCTCACACAGTGTTATTTGTGAGTTCACTAACAACACAGAACACATTTGTTTTGCTGAGCTCCTTACCCCGTTAAACCAGGACAAACTCAGGTGTGGCAGTGGCACTGCAGAGCTCACGGTGAGTTGGAGGAAGGCAGCAGCCTCATCTTCCAGCACTGACCATGCCTGTGACAGCCCCAGCCAGGAGGACACCAGGAGGACACCAGGAGGACAGGGAGTGACGCCAGTGTCACAGCAGCAGGACCATTTCTCATGTGGCACCTTGACAAGCTGGACATGCTGCACCCGCCTTGGCAATCCTGCAGGAATCACTGCTCCAAATGAAACATCCCCTGTGCTCTCCAGGGTGACACTGCTGCTCTCCACGAGGCTCAGCTCCAGTGCAGGTGGGCACTGGCCCTGCAGCCAACCTGCTCTGGGGGATGCAGCCACGCCAGCATTGTGGCTCAGAGGGCCACACAGCTCTGAGTGTCCTCCCAAGTGCTAAAACCACTTCAGGCATTCAAATCCTCACTCAGGACCCTTCCCAGGGCCCGTCCTTGCAGCCGTGGCTCCCAGCCCCAGCAGGTGGGTGCATCCTCCACAGATGCTCGCAGCCACCCCTGGAGTGAGCCCGTTCTTCAGGCAGCTCCCGGGTCCAGCTGCTCCCCCGAGGCTGGGAGGGCACCGTGTGGCACTGCCTGCCCTGAACTCCCGCAAAGGCTTGGGAAAAACAGCCACATCCTGTCCTGGGTGCCGAGTTCCCAGTGGGACACAGCCAGAGGAGAACAGTCAGCACAAGGTGATGTGAGACAGCCTGAGCAACCTTTAGTTAGAGCTGTGGAAAGATCCCGGGGGATGGGATGGCTTTCAGGAGGGGAGCCCCGCTGAGCTGCGTCTGCTCCACCCCAAAGCCATCCCACAGCACTCCTAGCTGGGGACAGTGGCAAGCGAGCATCGGCCACGTTCTGGCCCCCATCCCTACGTGCCGGGACAGGACACGCTGCAGTGCCTTGTTTCGGTTTCCATTGGGACGCTTTAGCACGGGAATGCCTCCCTTCCCTTCCCTGGGCAGGTCCTGTGCAGCTTTACCTGTGGCTGCCAGGCGTTATCCCCCAGCGGGGACAGGAGCGGGCTGGAATCACATCCTGCCCGAGGACCTCCGGTTTATTCACTTCCTAATGAAATGCCGCAAGGAAAGACAGTGGAAAGAGTGGAGATTTAACACCCTGCGAGGGCAGGGCGCTGTCCCGAGTGCCCGGTCCGTGTGAAGCAGCAGCCACCGCCAGCGGGGAAGCTGCTGGACTGCACCAGCGGGAATTCGGCTGCTTTTAAACACCCGATCGCTGCTGCTTTCCACTGCACACACCCTCTGGCTTCGGCAGGACACAGCCCCAGCGCTGCGGAGCTGCCGAGCCCCGTTCTCCTCCCGCATCCTCCCCGGGATAACGGGGAGCATCCCGTCCACAGCTGCCCGGAGTGTCCCTGCAGCATCCGAGGATGCTTTCTGTGTCCCGCGGGAGGGACTGTCTTGGCAATTAAACACGTCACCTTCCGCAAACAAAGGTCATTATCACACCCGGGGCTTAAATACCGCTGGGATGCTCTGCCCGTTCCATGACCATGTCAAACCGCAGCCCCGGAGGAAACTCTGCTGCTCCTGCGGGGTGTCAGCCGTCCCATCCCAACCTTCCTGCTCTGCCGGTGCTTCCCGGGGGAGAAAACCCGGCTCGAGCATGGTCAGCTGCTCCCTCAGAGGCACCCGCTGCGGGATTGACACTTGTGCCACCGGCCACAAGCGCTGGTTCTCCTTAAAAACGCCGAGCTGAGCCAGCAGCAGGGCTGCGAATTTAGGACTTTTTGTCACAGAAAGCAGAGCAGATCCCGTGCGCTCTGCCCGGCCCCCGGGTCCCTGCTCGCAGAGCTGTCCCGTGCCGGGCAGCAGGAGCAGCTGTGGAGCAAAGCTGCATCCCGGCTCCGAGCGACAGCAGGGGCTGTGCAGCCATCCCTCTGGGCATCAAAACCTACTGCGCTCAAAATCCTGCTCTGTTATTTGCTGCGACTTGTAGGGATTAAGTTACTCCTCTAATACGGGAGGGAGAAGGACTGTAAATGACATTTTACAGCACAGCTGTAAATGGCATTCACACCACAGCTGGGAACGGCGCCGGGAGACACGAGCAAAGGTCCCTCTCGCCCACGGTCTCGCCTCTGACAGCACCCGCTGGCAAATACGCCGGGAAGCACCGTGAGAACAAGGCAGGTACTTCCCCAGGACATTTATTTTCGCAGGACATCTACCCACAATTAAGGGAATCGCCACGAGAGAAGTGACATCCCAGCCGCCGTCCTTCACACCCCTTTGGGACAAACCCCCTGGAAAGCAAGCAGGGATGTTTCCAGCTACTTCCCTTCCCAGGGCCACCACCTGTGCCGGTGAAGTCGCCACCAGTGGTGGCTGCGTCCCGCAGCTGCCCCGTGCCACCTCCCCTTGCCACCACCAGCCTGGGCGCTGCTGGCAGTGAGGACGCGCTCGGCAGCGCTGAGCATCTCCCCAGCCAAGGCAGAAGAACTCAAACTTACTGTCCAGGTGGCTGACTTGGCGGTGCTGGATTGCTGGAAGGTCACCTCGAAGTGGTGGGGACCAGGGTAGTCGGTGTTGGAGGGGATGACGGGGGCCGGGGACATGGCGTCGAAGGTAGAGCTGGGCTGCGAGTAGGGAGAATGCGTTGGGACATTGGAGGTGTGCTCGGAGCTGTAGGGGCTGGTGGAGGCTGCTCTGCTGCCGATGCTCTGATCCATGCTGTTGTTCAGCAAATTGAACTGGGACTGGAGGAAGGGAAAAGGGGAGGAGGGAAAAAAGAAAACACCAGCCAGTTTAGAGACAGGGAAACCTCAGCCACCTTTCTCCAGAGCTGGGGTGTCCTGTTACAGCCTCCTTAAAGGGCCAGCGTGCGGGAGGGGAGTCAAAGGAGCTGGTCTGGGTGGCTCGGGTTTTCTGACAGGTCGCCACTTGTGTGAGGGATGAAATCCGTGTGCTTAAATCTCCCCCCTCGAGCCTCTCCATCCTCGCTGGAGGCAGCGAGGTGCCCCAATCCCCGGGTTTCTAGAGCACCTGCCTCGGGAAAGCCACGCTTCTGACAGCGGGGAGAGGGCAGGGAGGTTGTGGGGTTTGCTCAGGTGTGGGAAATGTTCCGCTGGAGGTGGGGAGTGCCAGCCCTGTCCTGCACGCAGGGCTCTGCTCCGCGCTGTCCCTTCCAGCAGCCAGAGTGTCACAGCTCTGCGAAGCCACCCCGCCAAGGCGAGCAGCAGTCCCTGGCGATGACACTGCTCCATCGCCGCGGCGATTCCCAGCGGCCGTCCCGTTTTCCAGCCTCTTTTCCAGCCTGTCCCCGGTGTGTTCACTGGTCACGGACACACACCCACCCACCGCTCCTGGGAGTGCTTCCCCGAGCCGGCCAGCCCCGAGCAGTGGTTTGTAGCTGGTTTCCCAGCGGGATGTCTGCTCCCAGTGCCTGATGCATCTCTAATTTGGGGAAAACCTCAAACCTACAAAGCAGGCGCTGCAGCAAAATCACAGGGCACAGGGACCTCTTAGGCAGGTCCTGGCTCTCATTCCAGACCTGTGGGACCAAATAATGACCTTTTAAATTTTTTTCCTTATTCCTATTCTGACCAATTACTGCCAGATTCTTCCAATAAGAGCTGGCAGCTCCTTTACCCAAGGCACAGCCCAAGCGACATTCCCAAGAGCCCTGTGGCTAAATCAATCTTAGTATTTCATCAGAAAATCAGAGTCAAATCAGAGCGAGTGGGATGGGGTTTTTCCCCCAGAAATCTACAATTTCTGAATTGCTCAGGGGTTGCTCTCACCCTGCAGCCCCGGAGGCAGTGGCAGTGCTGGTGACCATGCACACTGTCGGGTGCATTGCCGTGTGTCACCCTAGCTCCCAGCACTGGAGCAAGGGCACAGCCCCCCTGGGACTGCCCTTGTGCCTGGCAGGGACTGTCCCTGTCCCCAGCACCCTCTGGGGCAGCTCTGGGAAGCCAAGAGCTGTGGAAGCAGCCGTGGGCACAGCCAGCAGGCTCAGCCTTCTCCAGAGGGCTGCAAAGCTCACGGCTCAGGAATCAGGAAACGTGTTTTAACTTGGGATCCCAACCTCACCCAACCCTCTTCGATGTGGAATGGTTTAAAGGCAATCATCCTTCTCCAGGGAAGTTCTCCTGTTGCCTGCATCTCTCACAAGGTCGTTGGAGCCTGTGACTAACTGGAGGAATGCTGAACAAGATCTGGCTTGCTTTTATGCATCCAGCCATTTTCTCCCCTAAAATATGTGCCTAAATCCCTCTATTCCTCCTCACCACTCTATAAATAGCCCAGCCAAAGACAAGCCAAGCTTTCCTTAATCCAGCCTTCACCTGGAGAAAAACTTATGAGAAACTCTGGCAAAACAGGCACATTAGGAAAGCTTTCAGCATTCAACTGGGAAATGGAACTGCTGCAGGGACTATGGGCAGGGCAGAGCCACTGAGGTGGCACAGGCAAAGCTGAGGGATCACCCAGGAGAACAGCAGCAAGGGAAAGGGATTGCTGCTGGATGGGGCTGCTCCCAGCCCAGCTGATCCAGGAGTACCAGGGCTGAGCTGTTTTGCTCCCATGCTGAGAGACAGGACTGAAGCCATGGCTGAAGCCTGTGGCTGTGAATGGGCAAGTGAATGGGGACCCACCACAGAACGGAGCATCCCGAGCTCTGTGTGGGAGAAAACCTTCCCTCAGGAGGAATGGTGAGATATGAGACCCAGGGTATCACCTCTGGCTGCCCCGAGCTGGGATGCCTTAGCACAAAGCAGGAGGCAGCACCCTGAGTGCCCAGAATTTGGGAATCTGCTGGCAGAGAGACCCAGAGTCAGGTGCGTGGGCAAAACCACAGACTTGCTGCTCAAAACTGATGAAATTGTGGAAACATTCCGCTAAAAGACAAATTGAAGGCAACAGTGTTTGTGTGTGTGTGTAAATATGTACCTACACACACAGGGATAATTGTTCACACAACTGCAGCAACGACCTCCCATGGAACAGCCCCAACAATGGGACACACGGGCTTGGTACCAACACACTTAACATAAAACGAGGAATGAAAGGATTTCCTTCTGTCTTTGACTCTCTCTGTACCTGTGCTGGACTGTTCCAAATGCCAGGGACAGACACAAACCCTTTTCCCTAAGGAAACAACCTCAGCACTTAGGGACAGGGCTGGAAATGTATTACCTGCAGCACAGGTACAGGCACAGGTACAGGTACAGGTACAGGTACAGGTACAGGTACAGGTACAGGTACGTGCCCTGCCCTCCCAGGGATTTCCAGCAGGGAGAGGAAACCTGCCTGGGGAGGCAGGTGTGCAGTGTGGGCTCAGCTGAGGAGGTCCCCAGTGGATGACAAAGTGATGCTGGACACCCCCAGCACCCCCAGCTGCTCCTTGGGTGGATGCTCTGGCTGACCCCTTCCCACACACAGCTGAGGGACCCTGCACCCTCGGCACCTGAGCTTTAAATCAACACCTTGGGCTCTGCAAGCAGCAGATGGGGCAAAGCAAGAGGAGCAGTGACTGACTGCCGAGGCTGCAGCATCCTGCACCAACACGAGCAGGGCTGCACCAGCTCCAGGTCCTCCAGCTGGAATCCTGAGCTGCAGGACAGAGACAGGAGTGCACTGGCACAACCCCTGGAGCATCCAGCACCCGGGCTGGGCAGGCAGAGCCAGAGCAGGTACCCCCGACAGGAGTGCACTGGCACAACCCCTGTGCTGGAGCATCCAGCACCCGGGCTGGGCAGGCAGAGCCAGAGCAGGTACCCCAGAAGCAGAGGATAACTCTAAGGAGAGCATCAAAGCAAAGCCCGCCCGCAGCAAGCAGCACCTACCGTGGTGTAATGCTGCATCGGGTCGCTGATGTAGAGCATTTTAGTTGTCTCGGGGCTCACGGAGCGCGGGGAAACCTCCTGGCACGGGAGTCATGGGGTCGGGGCGGCCGCCGGGGAGGGGTGGCGATGGGAGGAAGGAGCGGAGCGGGGCCGGGCGGGCAGCAGCGCCAGGGATGCTGCGCTGGCCGCCCGTCTGTGTGCCGCCGTCTGTTGGCTTTTTTGCTTTTTTCATCTCCCTTAGTTCTGTCAACTCGCTGCATCCAACAACAAAACGGGGCCCACCCCTTCTGTCCCTCATGACTATTCATTAAAGCACAGGGCAGGCCCCAGCTTGCCCAGTGATGGACTGGGCGATACCAACCATTCCCACTGCAGGGAGAGCAGGGATCCAGCTCCACCACCACACCTGTCCAGATCCCACTCCCCAAAGCTTCTTCCAGCCACACGGGGTTGGAGACCTGCTGGGCTGGCAGCTGTCACCTGCACACTGAGGTGCCCACCCTGGCACTGACCAGGCAGGGCAGTGACTCTGAGAGAACTCCATGTCTGGGAGATATGGAGTTGTTTTTATCTGGATGGATGGACACAGATGGGTGAGGATGGATGGATAATGGATGGACACAGATGGGTGAGGATGGATGGATAATGGATGGACACAGATGGGTGAGGATGGATGGATAATGGATGGACACAGATGGGTGAGGATGGATGGATGATGGATGGATGGATGGAGGATGGATGGGTGGAGGGATGGATGGATGGATGGATGGATGGATAATGGATGGATGGATGGATGGATGGTTGATGGATGGACGATGGATGGACGGATGGATGGATGCATGGATGGATAGATGGATGGAGGGATGGATGGATGGATGATGGAAGGATTGATAGATGGATGGATGGATGGATGGATGATGGATGGATAGATGGATGGATGGATGGATGGATGATGGAGGGATGGATGGATGATGGAGGGATGGATGGATGATGGAAGGATGGAGGGATGGATGGATGATGGATGGATGGATGGATTTCTAGAGGGACAGACAGGAATAGTTAGGGATGGATGCCTGACAGAGCATTGGGGTGACCTGCTCAGTGCCACCGAGCACCAGCACCACTGTGGCACCGATGTGTGCCAAGAACAGCAGGAATCAGCATGGGCTGAGTGGTCCCTCCGCAGCCTCTCCCCATCCCGTTACCAGAGCACTTTCTGTCGCGCACCCCAGGCTGCTCCGTCCCCGCCGGGCTCGGCTGTGCTTACAGCGGGAGCGGCGGGAAAGGCGAGGCTCGCCCAGCGAGGGGCACAGCCACAATTAGCAGCGCTCTGCCCGGCTCCTGCCCGCTGTGAAAGGCCGGGGAAGGGAGGGAAAGCGAGCGGAAAGCGAGGGAAAAGGGGCTGGGGGAGGGGAGGCAAGCTGTCGGCGAGGGAAACAGCGACTTTCTGGAGGGAAACAGCAACCTTCTGGAGGGAAACAGCGACTTTCGGGAGGGAAACAGCAATTTTCCGGAGGGAAACAGTGTCTCCCCTCAGGGAGATGCATCCAACAGCCTCAGGGATGCTCCCGGGCGCTGCCGAACACGCACAAGCGGCCGGGATGTCTCGCACGGCAGCGATGCTTTCCCAAGACTTTGTCTCAGGCAGAAGCAAAGGCTTCTGGCAGGAAAGGCAGCGGCACGGAGCTGGGGCTGTGCTGGGAGCAGAGCTGCGAGCTCGGCGTGCTCCTCCAGCAGCTCACAAATGGCTTTGTCCCGGAGCGAATGACACTCTGCCGATGTCCAGGTACTGCCCTAGAGCTCCCCGCTGCTGCCTGCACTGATGTTATCTAACAACAAATAGCCACGGTTTTGCTGACCCTTGTGCCATTGATTAACCCTCCACCAGTGCCAGCAAGGTTGGTTTATGAAGCAGCAAATGCCTCCCCCAGAGCCCCCAGCCCACCCCTGCAGGGAAATCAAGTGTGTGCCCGGCTCAGGTCCCCATCCCTGCTGCCTGAGCACACTCACCATCACCGAGTCAGTCATGCCCCTCATCTGGAACACGTCCATCGTGACCTCGGTGCTGTTGGAGACCTCACTGCTGCTGCTGGGGTTGGCTGGAGGCAGGTCGAAGTAGGTGCTGTCTGGTTCCCTGAGCAGAAATTGAGGCACAGTCATCTCCCAGCGCTCCAACACAGCCTGTGCCACCACCACCACCCCCAGCAACTCACAGTCCCCTAAACCTTGTCCCTTTCCCAACTTCTTCCTCCATCCTCTGCTTTTGTTTCCACCTGACAGAGCAGTAGATGTAGGAATTTCTGCATCCACCCAGCTACTCCAGCATATCTGTCAACTTGGGTTGTCTTTAGGAAGGGAGGAAGAAGATGGAATGAAGCACAATCCTTCCCCTTGCTGGATCAGAGCATGAAGCTCAAAGGCCAGAAGTTTTGCAAAGATCTTGGTGGGGCTGGAAGATGTTTAATTTTGGAATTAAGGGTCCCAGCTTGAGGGGAGTTCTGCTCTGGCCCTGACACTGTCCCCATGCTTCCCTGGAGCATTGCAGCCACCCCTGAGACAGACATGGCAAATGGAGTGCCCTGAGCAGAGTCTGAAACCAGGGAGCCAAATTTAGCAGGTGGCAAAGGCATCTGTGGAAAGAGAGGATGTAAAAGGAAATTTGTCTTTGTCAAAGAGCCCCTGCTGCCCCCGAGCACCCCCACGGGGAATGAGCACACCCCACTTACAGCGAGCTCCAGAGGTGCTCGAACGTGGGGCCTTCGTCAGCCGGGGATGCCTGGGACATCTTCAGAGCAGGGGAGTCCGACAGAGGATAGATCACCCTGGCCAAAGGGAAAGAGCAGGGTTAGCACTGCCAGCGTGCTGGGCTGGGCTGTGCCACGCTGTGCTGTGCTGTGCATTCTGTGCTGTGCTATTCTGTGCCATGCTGTGCATTCTGTGCTGTGCTGTGCCATTCTGTGCTGTACTGTGCCATTCTGGGCTGTGCTGTGCCATTCTGGGCTGTGCCATTCTGTGCTGTGCCATTCTGTGTTGTGCTGTGCCATTCTGTGCTGTGCCATGCTGTGCCATGCTATTCTGTGCTGTGCCGTGCTGAGCTGTGCTGTGCTGTGCCATTGTGTGTTGTCCTGTGCTGGGCTGTGCTGTGCCATGCCATTGTGTGCTGTGCTGTAACGTGCCATTCTGCGCTGTGCCGTGCCGTGCTGTGCTGTAACGTGCCATTCTGTGCTGTGCCGTGCCGTGCTGTGCCATGCTGTGCCGTGCTATGCTGTGCCATTCTGTGCTGTGCCATCTCTCTCCATCAAAGCAGCTGTTCAAGGAATCCCTCAATCCCAACTTCCTCCCAGCAGCACAGCAGGGGCCAGAGAGCCCTGGAGCCCGTGGCAGGGGACACACAGTCAGGGATCCCAGGGTCCCTTGTGGGGGACACAGGACCAGAGACCCCAGAGCCATCATGGGGACACAGAGGACCAGAACCCTCCAGAGCCCATCGTGGGGAACACTCAGGACCAGATTCTCCCAGAACCATCGTGGGGGACACACAGAACAGAGACCCCCGGAACCATCATGGGGACACAGGACTAGAGACCCTCAGAACCATTGTGGGGGACACAGGACTAGAGACCCTCAGAGCCATCGTGGGGGACACTCAGAGCCCCCCAGAGCCCATCATGAGTGACCACAGCACTGGACACCCCGTGGCCCACGCTGGGGGACAGTGTCCCCAGCCCCAGCAGTGCAGGCCAGGGCAGCAGGCAGGGATGAGCCAAGCTCAGCAGAATGAATCAGTTTTTCACTCAAAGCCTCCTGGATGCTGCTTCACAGTCACAACCAGAGCCAGGCTCGGCCCAGCCCGTTCCCCTTGTCCCTGCATGAGGATTCTTGGAGGACAGCAGCCCAGCCCAGCTCTCCCGGGTGCCCGGAGCCTCTCAGAGCCAGCAGCTGGAGCCGGAAGTTTCACGGAGCCATCTTGAGCCTCGTGCTGCCTTCCCCCCTGGGCAACCATCATCCTCCTCCCTCGGCCTCTCCCTGCAAGCAGCAGGACTTCTTCCCTGCCCTGGCTGACACCCCCAGGCACATCTGGCTGTCTTTTTTCCCCACGCTGCTGTGAGCATCCCATCTCGGCTGCGACATCTCATAGTGAAAACCCGACACTTCCTGCCTTTTGGGCGGGAGTGCAGGGCAGCTGCTCCCTGAGCCAGGGATGCTCGGGTGGCCAGGGCCCCTGGGACTCAGCTGGGGACCGACTGGCTGCAGGGGACAGAGTTAAAATGAAAGCAGGGAAGATTTCCCCGTCAGTTTCGACAAAACACAGCATCCGCAGCCACCCTGCCTGGAGGAATTCCCACACACAGGAGGGCACAGGAGGGCACAGGAGGCAGCCCTGAGGCTCAATCCCCATGGGTCCCATGTCAGGGACAGCTAAAAGCAGAGTCTGATGTCCTCCCATCCCTCCTCACCCCACGTGTGACACACAGAGAAACGAAAGCAGCTCTGAGAGAAGCCTAGAACAGACGCAGGTGACAGAACAGGACTGCTGGCACTCTTACCCTTCTTCCATGCTGCTTTCCCTGGCCCAGAGCAGCTTCAGGAAGTAGCCAGGCCTTTTCCTGCCGAGGAGAAAGCACCTCTGCACCGCCCCGGCTGTGTGGTCAGCACGGGTGACACCAGCTCTAACCACGTGGCCGCCCTGGTTCTCAGAAGGAAAGAAATCTGACTATTTTAAGGGCGTTTCGGAAGTTCCCTTTCACTCTCTCAAAGCACAGTGTGGGTGTGCAAAGCCAGGCCAGCCTCTTCTGGTGTCTGAGCTCTGAATTAAGGGGTACGAAGGGAAGCTGGGGTGGTGGGTGCTGGTAAAGCACATCCCTGCTGCTCTGATCCCTGCTCATCACCTCTGCAGCAAGAGTGACAGCCCAGCACCAAGCACCTGGGTTGGTAAAGAATTTACCAAACAATTTACCTACAAATAGGGTTCTCCCAAATTTGTCTGGTGCTGATTTAATTCCCTCTGAAAGGAGGTGCCATGTAGAGCCCCTTTTCAGGGAATGCTGGAGGCATTCACATTTGGGAAGCTGGGAAAGCACTGTGATGGTGAGGTCCTGCAGAAGGAAAAGGGTGGGAAGCTGTGGGAGCTTTGTGCAACAAAAAAATCAAAGGGAAATTGGGAAGAGCCTTAGAGCCTAATTCTGCATTGCTCTGGAAGCATTCCTGGTGGCTCGGATGCAATTCTGTGCCCAAGGCTGAGCAAATGGCACCCGGGGCTGAGCTCAGGAGCAGCCACAGCCCAGCTCAGCTCCCTGCTGTCACCACAGGGAAGACCTGGGGGTTCATCCTCACTTCCTCCAGCAAGAGTTCTCCAGCCAGACTCCCCCAGGAGGATTATCACCTGCAGAGACCCCAAACTGCTCGTTAAAGTGTGGATCTCCTCTCCCAGGGAAAGGGTGCAGCAAGGAGAATTCCAGCAAGGAATTGTCCATCCATCCCACCTCGATGTGGCAGGGAGGCAGTGGGGGATGCTTGGCACGGCTGGCACAGCTCGGGAGGGACCTGCACTGGATTTATTGCAGGTTTCTAAGGGAAAAAAAAGACCAAAAAGTGCAAACCAGGGGGTTGGTGCTGGGATCCAGGGTTGCCGGTGGGATTTGCCGGCGGTCACTGGGAGAGCTGCGCTCCAGCGTTCCCTGGATTGCTGCTTCCCTCTGTTGCTAGTCAGGGCATTGCAGGGAGGCTGCACACGGGAAAAGAGCCCGGCAGCGGGCAGAGAAAACCTCCTAAAAGGGGATCCCCCAGCTCTGAGCCCTGCAGGACCCGGCTGAGCCCACGGCGGGGCTGCCACCCCCGGGATGCGGGACCCTGCGGGGCTGCCCCTGCCCATGGAGCTTCCCTGTGCACGGCCACTGAAATAATTCCCAAAGATTAGCATGGAAAAGCTCCACGTAGTCAGTTTTCCACGGTGCTGTGGAAAAACCCAGCCCCAGAGACAGAGGGAGAAGGAAAAGCAGGGACCAAGGTCCCTACAGCCAGCCCAGTATGGGAGAACAACTCCTTGGAGAAGCAGAGCAGATGAACCAACCGTGCCTCACTCACGTGTTGTGACCACACAGGTCACATAATAAATAAAATATAAATTCTAATAAATATTAGAATGGTTAATAAGGTCTAATACCTTATTGGAATGGTTATAAACTCAACTTTTTTCATCACAGTGAGGATGGTGAAGGGCACTGTGGGCTCTCAGCCTTGCTGGAACTGGCTGAGTTTGCTCACTGAGTTTCTGCACTCTCTGGAAGGAGAATCTTTGAGATCACTATCAACTTTAGGGCTCGGGTTTAGCACCAGAAATGCTCAGTATTTGTTATTCACAACTCAAACAGCCCAGGAGGAAACATGACAGCATTTTGCAGCCACCTGAAGGGAACATAAATGCACAAACCCAATGTAACGGGTATCACTAATTCCTAAGGACTCTGGGAGAGCAGGAATTCTGAGAGCTGTTTCCACCCCTCACACAGAGCTGCTCCATGATTTGGGAACTGACCCTGGACTTTCTCTCCTCCACACAACCAGACCCATCAGGCTCATCCAGCCCACAGCAAACAACTTAATGTCTGAAAAAACACTGCCAGTCCCACAGTGCCAACACCGCCCTGTGCTATCATTCATTTATCTCAGACTGTTAAATTCACCCCTGCCAAATGAGCTTTGTCAAAGCAATGGAGAGCCAGTGAGCTTTCCTGCAGCACTCTTTGAATCTCAGGACCCCTCCGTGGGGTCCAGCAGCTTGTCAAAAATTTTCTCCCGAGGGGGAGGCAGGTTGGAGAGAAATCCTCTGTGCCAGCAGTGATGGGGAAGGAGCTGAGGCTGCTCCCCCTCCCTCCCTGGCAGCCCTGCACAGGGACCTGAGCCCAGGATCCCACCAGGATCCAGCCCTTCCATTGCCTCTCCCATCCAAGGCTCCTCCAAAAGCGCTCTCACTCCAGAGTTAACCCACTTTGGGAGCAAACTTCCCGAGACACTTCACCACCGTGTCACAACCCCGCCGCAAATCATCCTCCAGCCGCGTTATCCAGAAACTCACACACCGCCAGAGCAAGGGGTTTCCTTTTGTCGGGCTTTTTTTTTTTTTTTCCCCCTCCTACCTGAGTTTTGAGCTCCCCCGGAGGTCTCCTGCAGCCAGGAGTGCCCTGGGATTGAGGATCTACGTTATTCAGTGCACTACCCCGGAGTAGCGTCCCGGTCGCCAAGGCAATGACATTGGAGCTGCTGAAAGCTCTGTGGAAAGTGAGGCAAAAAAGCTCCTGCGCTCCTTCCTGCCATAGGAGGCACTTGCAAGGGGGTGGGGAGTGCTCAGCCAAGCGTGCCAGGAGATTAAAGCTGGTCACCAGCGCCAGAGGGACGCCAGGGCGGCCGCGGGGGGTGCAGGAGTGGCCACCCCGCTTTGATCAGCCACAGAATCAGGGCTTGGTTTGGGTCCAAGAGGGGTGCCCAGAGAAGCTCTGTCTGCTCCTGGATCTCTGGAAGTGGCCAAGGTCAGGTTGGACAGGGTTTGGAGCAAGCTGGGATAGTGGAAGGTGTCCCTGTCCAAGCTGGGATAGTGGAAGGTGTCCCTGTCCATAGCAGGGGCTTTGACCTAGATGAGCTTTAAAGTTCTTTGTACTCCAAACCAGTCTAGGATTCTGTATTCTGTTCTATATGCGCTGAGCTCCACTGCAAACTACAGTGAGAACTAACCCAGGGAAAGGGGGTTTTACAGTAGTAAATACAATCCTCGATTCCATCACTGCTGGGTAAGTAACTCCAGCTTTTAAAACACTACTTTCTGTCTTATAACTTATTGTATTTCGTAGAATCCCTTAATGGTTTGGTTTGGGAGGGACTTTAAAGTTTATCCAGTTCTACCCTCTGCCATGGCAGGGACATTCTCACTGTCCCAGGCTGCTCCCAGCCCTGTCCTTGGACACTGCCAGGGATGGAACCTCCAGCAAAAAACACTCAGAGTATATCAAGGTTTTTCTCCCCATCAGATGGGTGGGCTGAGCAGGTTTTGTGTTTGCATTCAGCCAGTGACCAGATCATCTCTCCCGGGGTGGGGAAGGGCTCTGGGGTTCCCTGTGCTGGGTCCCCGGGAGCAGCGACTTGCCAAGGCACAAGGAGAGGGGCACTGGGTGAAGACTGAACATTTCTGATTAAAAACCATCACCCAGAAGGCTAATGACGGACCCACAGACACCCTGTCACACACTGACACCCATCACAAACTCCTGTGTCACTGTCATTGCCCTGGGTGACAGGGCAGGCAGTGGCACTGCTCATCCTGGGGCAGTCACTGCTCATCCTGGGGCAATCATTGCTTGTTCTCAGCTCCCCTGTCCCCACTGGGGACCAAAAGACACCCCCAAAAGGCACCCCCACTGTCAGAACCCAGGACATTCCTCTGGCTGCCCTGGATGATTCCAGACCAAAAAAACACACTGGTGGGGCTGGAACCAGCTTTTGGAACCCAAATAATCCGTAACCAAATCAAGACTCAAATCCTCAGACCCTCTGATCATGAGGTTTATTTTTAAGTGATTGTGGCCCCCAAACAGGGAGGGGGGTCCCACCAGGCTGTGCTGCCACTGGGACATTTGGGGATGTAATGCTGATTAATTGCATTTTCATGTAATGCTGGGATGACTGTTTGCAGATTTTAAACTAAACAGTATGAAAGAAAAAAAAAAAAAAAGTGTATTTGTGGACTCCAAGGCAGTCTCTGTCTGAGTTTGTCCAACTGATTGTCAGTCTTGCAGAGATTTGCAGCAGATTTATCAGCTGTGTTGGTAGCAGTGGCATCCTTAAGCCCTTCCTCACTCATTTCTGAGGAAACCACCCCAAAAATCCCGGGGCTGCAGACCGTGGGGACAAAGGGAGGCAGCTGTGCATCCCCTTGGCTGCTCAGGGGGAGGGGATGCACAAGAGCAGTTTTGGGGATGCACAAGAGCAGTTTTGGGGATGCACACGAGCAGTTTTGGGGACCCTGGCTGTGTTTTGAGGACCCTGGCTGTGTTTTGGGGATCCTGGCTGTATTTTGGGGACCCTGGCTGTATTTTGGGGACACAGCCATCCCTGTCACCCTCCCCATTCCCCCTTGGCTCCTCTGCTCCCTGGGCTGGCTGCACTGGGAGGGGGCTGTTTCCCAAAGGAATATGCCCTCTGAGGGGGGATATCTGGGATCTGTCCCTCCCCTGGTGTGCCTGTATTGATTAATTGACTAATTGATTGATTGATTCCAGTCAGTTCACATCCTTTTTGCTGGGGTATCTCTATTCCAATTATTAGTTCCTCTGTCCTCTCCGGGGAATCTGGCGGGACATCCCACCTGTGCTCCCATTGCTGTCGGTAATTAGCCGGCAGTAGTGATTAGCCCGAAGGGCTGACTAATTAGCCAGAAGGGCCGGTTAATTAGTCGGGGCTATTCCATGCGCGGGACGCAGCCCGCGGAAAGGCGCCAGATAAGGGAGGACTCCCATAGGATAGAGAGAGGAGGGGGAACGCGCCCCTCAGCTCATTAACCGCGTCATTACCCGGCTCATTAGCGGCTCATTTGCATACCAATGCGGCGCCTTCCCGCGCGCTTCCCGCCGCCGGGCGCCCCCTGCCGGGCGGGCGCGGGGACTACAACTCCCGGCGTGCCCCGGGGCCGCCCCTCCCGCGCGGCCCCGCCCGTTCCGGCGGGCCCCGGCGGAGCGGAGCGGGGCGGGGGGGGGGGGGGGGGGGCGGAACCCCGCGGCGCCNGGGCGGAGCGCGGCGGGTTCGAATCCCGTCGGCGCCGCGCCCGCCATGAACTTCTCGGAGCTGTTCAAGCTCTCGGGGCTCCTGGGCCGCTTCTCCCCCGACGGAAAATGCCTGGTGAGTGCCGGCCGCGATCAGCGGGGCCGTGCGGCCCGGGACGGGGCGGTTGGCGCGGCCCCCGAGCGGCCGCTGCGCGGGGCCCGGGCCGGGCCGGGCTGAGGGCGGACACCGGGGCAGCGATGGAGCCCCGGAGCCTGCGGGCCTGAGCTCCGAGGCTGCTGCCCAGAGGCTTTGAGGCACGAAGGGTCAATACCGGAGGCCTGAGTTAGGTTAAATTAAGCTTAATCAGGTAGATTAATTAGTGCTTTAAATTAAGTAGTACATGAAGGGAGCCTACAGGGAAGATGGAGGGGACTCTTTACAACGGTTTGGAGAGGAGGGACAAGGGACAACAGCTTCAAACTGCTAAAAGGCAGGGTTGGGTGGGATAGTGGGGAGGAATTCCCTGTGAGGGTGGGCAGGCCCTGGCACAGGGTGCCCAGAGAAGCTGTGGATTCCCTGGATCCCTGGAAGTGTCCAAGGCCAGGCTGGACAGGGTTTGGAGCAGCCTGGGACAGTGAAAATGTCCCTGGCATGGCAGAGGGTAGAACTGGATAAACTTTAATGTGCCTCCCAACCCAAACCATTAAGGGATTCTATGTCAATAAGACAGAAAGTTATGTTTTAAAAGCTGGAGTTACTTACCCAGCAGTGATGGAATCGAGGATTGTATTTACTACTGTAAAACCCCCTTTCCCTGGGTTAGTTCTCACTGTAGTTTGCAGTGGAGCTCAGCGCATATAGAAAGAATACAGGATCCTAGACTGGTTTGGAGTACAAAGAACTTTAAAGCTCATCTAGGTCAAAGCCCCTGCTATGGACAGGGACACCTTCCACTATCCCAGCTTGCTCCAAGCCCTGTCCAACCTGACCTTAGCCACTTCCAGGGATCCAGGGGCAGCCACAGCTTCTGTGGGCACCCTGTGCCAGTGGCTCACCACCCACAGGGAGGGTTTTTTTTTATTTTAGCACAACATTGACCCTCTCTGAACCAAACCTGGCATCACAGCAAGCCTGGCAGGGACAGCCCTGGTGCTCCATCCAGGATCCTGCCCCATTTCAGCTCAGCCCTGTCCCCCCCAGGCCTCGTGTGTGCAGCACCGCTTGGTGGTTCGGGATGCCAGCTCCCTGCAGATCCTCCAGCTCTACACCTGCTTGGATCAGATCCAGTACATCGAGTGGTCCTCGGACTCCCTGTTCATCCTGTGTGCCATGTACAAGCGGGGCATTGTCCAGGTGAGGGTGAAAGCAGCACAAGGTGTGCTTCCTGCTGGGGTTTGGGTGTGATGGGAGGGAGAGCTTAACAGCCAGCACTGTTCTGAGGCTTTGCTGAAGCACCTGATGTTGGTGGTAACACGGTTTGGAGGATAATCCAGCATGCCAAGATTTTGAAAGCCACGACAAACATCTTAGTTTGAAAAAAAATATTTAGGATAAAAATATCTAGCAAAACAGATCAGAATTGGAGATTTTCTTAACGCAGTAGGAAATAAACAACATGCAAGCTTGTTAAATGGACTAAACCTGTTTAAATGTTGGATATTCAGAGTATTTGTCACAGAAAAAACCCAACCCCACATCATTTGCCATTTCCATGAGCACGCAGAGGTACGGGACTCACTTTTGCAGCGGGATCCAGCGCCAGTCCTTCATGGCTGCGGGTGGTTGGGTGTTGCTGAGCTCCCTGAGCTGGGATGCAGGAGCCTGTTGCCAGCTGCAGGGAATCCTCCTGAGCAGAGGTTTGGATGAGCTGATGCTTCCTGCTCTGTGTGGTTGCTCCCTGCCCCAGGTCTGGTCCCTGGAGCAGCCGGAGTGGCACTGTAAGATCGACGAGGGCTCCGCGGGATTGGTGGCTTCATGCTGGAGTCCGGACGGGCGTCACATCCTCAACACCACCGAGTTCCATGTGAGTGTGGAGGCAGGCTTGCTCCCCTCGGTGTCAGATGTTTGCTGTCTGCCCTTTGCCTCCTAAAATAACCCAAAGCCCTTAAAGCTGCAGCGGTGGTGGAGAGCACGGATGCAGCTCTGCACTCCTGTGTCTAACTTGGGTTAGTTCCAGGTTTGGTATTTGTTGTTCCACTAACATTTTGTCCTGTTGCTTCTGGTGAGAAGGTAGAAAATGGACACTTCAGATTTGAAGGTAAAATTGTGTGGTTTAGAACATATCCTGATGTTTTTGATTTTGATGGCATTCATCAAAGCAGTCTTAGAAATCCACTATGTTGCTTGCACGGTGAGAAAATCTCAGGATTTCTAGTTAAAAAACCCCAAACCATAAATGTTTCAGAGTGATTTTAAATTAAAACTTAAAACTCATAGGCTTATTGACCTATGAGATGAGATTTAGATGCAGATCCTGGAAATATTTTCCTATTTGTTTGATTTGACACACAAGAGCCAGACCGCTGGTGGAACCACTTGTGAAATTAAAATTGTAACACCTTTAATGCTTGTTGAGACCCATATTGGGGAATGCTACTAATGTAGAATCCAAATTGGTTTGTGGATGGTTGGTTTCTTGGAAGGCTTGTGGATTCTGACTTTTCCACCTTTTGGATTAGAGCTGATGATTGCTGTTATTGAGTACAACAATGAAGGGTCAGAAAATAGCCAAGAACAACATGTGAGACACTTTCTCTTTGTGTTTACTCTTTCCAAACCTGTGGAAGTGCTTTAGGTGACAGGATCTTGTGCCATAACACTGGTTAGCACAGAATTCACATGCTGCAGTGCAAGATTCCCCCTTTTTTTGGGCAAATCCCAATGTTAGTGGGATATGGCTGTGGACAGCAGTGTGTTTACAGACCCACTCCCCTATCCCTCTAGATAAGGGTGATAAGTTTAGCCCTTGGTTTTCTCAGGTGTGAATTGCCCTGATAGCAGCAATAAAAATTAAAAACAAGCCCAGAATTCCAGCCTGGAGGCAGAGCAGCCATCCCTGCTGGTCAGGCAGCAGCAGAGGAGGCAGAACTGCAGGCTGGGGCTGTGTGAGGCTCCCAGAGAAGATCTCCTGGCACGTGCATGTGGGGGTGGACCAGGAAGGATTTATTGCCTCCCAACAGAACTCGGTTTGACCTTAGAGGATTTCATTAAGCCTTTGCCAAGTTGGCATCTGTGTTGGGATAAGTTTCCTTTCCAGCTGTAAACAGGTTGCTAAATTAGCTGTTGTCAGACAGCTGCTGTCAGAGAGCTGTGTTTACTCCCTCCCTGCTAAATCCACAGTCTGGGGGGATGGACGTGGGCAGTGCTCAGGATATTTAATATCAGTGTCTTATCAAATCCTCTGATTGCCTGGAGGGTTTGGGGGTTCCCTGTCAGCCAGCTCAGCTGGGCTTTGGTCACTTCCAAACAGCACCAAGTAACCACTTGTTATTCCTCAGGTCAGTGTGTGAACTCCACTGAGAGCTCACAGGGAAGTTTTTTATTCCCTGAGTTTTTTAAAGGTTATGGTTGGGCTAATTTCTTTCTAGCAATCTGTACTTACCAGTGCCTCAGAAAAATCCTTACAGAATCCCAGAATAGTTGGAGTTGGGAGGGTCCTCTGGAGATCATCCAGTCCAACCCCCCTGCCAAGGCAGGGTCACCTGGAGCAGGTGACACAGAAAAGCATCCAGGTGGGTTTGGAATGTCTCCAGAGAGGGAGATTCCGTACCCTCCCTGGGAAGATGTTCCAGTGCTTGGCCACCCTCCATGGAAAGAAATTCTTCCTCATGTTGAGGTGGAACTTGTTGTGTTTTAGTTTCTGGCCATTACTCCTTGTCCTGTCACTGGCACCTAAAGAAAGAGTCTGGCACCATCCTTTGACACTTGGAATTCATCAGCTAATTTGTAGGGTTTCTTTGTGTTCCTTCTCTACTGAAATCCACTCTGGGAGGCAGTTCCACATTATCAGTGTGTCCTGTGGAAGGTGTTGAACCCCATGTGACTCCTTCCAATGCCAGAATTTACAGACACAGGTAGAGCTTAACCAACAGCTGCAGGTAAAGGATCTGAAGGAAAGCAAATGGATCCTCTTGACATTTCTGAAAGTGCTCAAAGCCAGGTTGGACAGGGCTTGCCGGAGGAATTTCTTCATGGAAAAGGTGGTCAGGGATTGGAAGGTGCTGCCCAGAGAGATGGGTGGTGGAGTCCCCATCCCTGGAGGTGGCACTCAGTGCTGTGGGCTGGGTGACAAGTGGGGATCAGGCACAGGTTGGATTGGACTTGATGATCCTGGTGGTATTTTCCAACCTCAATGAATCTGTGAATAGAGGATTTGAAACAAGATGATCTTTAAGATGATCTGTGGTTCTATGAGCTTGTTAGATGTTAAAGGTGTGTTGTGGCTGATAGATGGAGTGAAGATGAGGGCTTTGCTTATCAGACACTTAGAGGCATCTTGTTTAGTTGTAGCCTGGGTTTTTGCAGCTGTGTTTGTGTGTGTGCCTGTGCCATGAAACGTGTGCTGGCTGTGCTCTGGGGGCTCTCCCCAGTGCTGCAGAGGCACTGAGCAGTTTGTGTCCATGTCTGGGGGCACACAGGGCAGTGCCCCCTCAGCAGTATCAGGGTGTGATGGCACTGGAACGTCCAGTGCCAGGAGTATGTGCTCAGCAGTGAAGAACAGGAAAACCCTTATTGTCCTCCTTCAGGAGTCACAAAGCTTGACCCTTTTGGAGAAGCTGCTGTTTTTACAGCAAACGGAGGTTTAGGTTGGATATTAGGAAAAGTTTCTTCATGGAAAGGGTTGTCAAGCATTGGGACAGGCTCCTCAAGGGAGGGGTGGAGTCAGCATCCCTTGAGGGATTTAAGAGACATTTAGAAGTGTCTTGGGGACATGGTCTAATGGTGGCCTTGGCAGTGCTGGGGAAATAGTTGGACTCAGTGCTCTTTGAGGGCTTTTCCATCCTAAATGATTTTGTGCCTCCATGGCGGAGCACAGATGGATGCAGGAATATTTTGAAACAAAGGTGGCCTTGCCTTTTGTCTGGCTGAGCCTCAGGCAGGGCAGAGGTGACAGTGGAAACTCAGCACGGGGTGTGCTGTGTCCCATCTCCAGAGATTTGTGTGCTCTCGAGCTCAACATGAGCAGCAAGGTGTTGCCTCCTGAGGCTTGGAGCAGGCAGTGTGGTCCAGGGTGGAAGTGTGTTTGGTGCCCAGCAGGCCAGGGAGCTGTTCATGGGGCTGAGTAGCAGCACTCAGATGCCTTTGTCAGGAAAAATGATGATCCAGCCCTCAGCATTCAAAGCCTGCAGCTGCTAAGCTTGTATTAAGTGGTTGGAGAATGTGTGCTGTGTGTTTTGCTCAGGGGAGGCAGGGCAGCCAGTGCATTTAGGGCTGCAATTAATAGTCCCCAGTAGCATTTCAGTGCTGCAGTTGCTGCAGAGGAATGTGTGGAGGCATTGTGTTGGTATTTTTAAAGTAAATCTTGCCTGAGGAGCAGACTGACAGCTGGGTTTGGGTGGCCGGAAGTGAGTGGCCCCAGGGCCATTAATCAATAAAAGTTGATTAATGTTCCTCTCATGGGTTCCTCCAGGAGCTGCTGAACTTAGAGGAGGAGGTTCTGCCCCTCTGCCCTGCCCAGGTGAGACCCCACCTGCAGAGCTGCCTCCAGCCCTGGGGTCCCAGCATAGGAAGGACCTGGAGCTCCTTCAGAGTCCAGAGGAGGCCCCAGGGTGATCAGAGGGATGGAGCAGCTCTGCTGGGAGAGCTGGGATTGTCCAGCTGGAGAGGAGAAGCCTTGGGGTGACCTCATTGTGGCCTTCCAGTGCCTGAAGGGAGCTTACAGGAAAGATGGACAGAGACAACTTCCAAGGGCATGGAGTGACAGGACAGGGGGGAATGGCTTGCCAGTGACAGAGGGCAGGGCTAGGTGAGATACTGGGAAGGAATCCTTCCCTGCGAGGTTGGGCAGGGCTTGGAGCAGCTTGGTCTACTGGAAGATGTCTGTGTCCATGGCAGGGGCTGGGACAAGATGAGCTTTAAGATCCCTTCCAGCCCAAATCATTCTGTGATTCCGTGGAGAAAGTAACACAGAAATCCTCTTCAAATCTCAGAAGTTTCCTGATGTGTAAGGCAGAAAGGTCTGTTTGGGATTCCATGAACCTCTGATGGGGAGGCAGTGTTTACTGGGATTCTGAAGCTAGGTTTGAGCCCTGTAAATCCCTCGAATTCTGCTTCCCACCGAAACGGATCATGTCAGCAAGGGAAAAACCTCCAACTTCTGTTGCAACACAGAGCCTGCAGTGTTACCAGTGAAGCACATCCACACGCTGCTCCCTCAGCATCCTTTGTCACCATTGAGCAGTGCCAGGTACTTCAGGGAAGGAAAAGCTGTGTTGAGGACAAACCTGCAAAAAGGTGTAGGAGAACCTTCCTCCTGAGTCTGTTGGGGTGTGGGAGGAGGAGGAAATGGGCACAATGCAGGTGTTTTACATAATGGATCAGAATTAATTTTGCTGCCCAATAATTCAGGGAAAGGCGCATTTGTGGTAGAGGTGCTTCACTGAAAAAAGTCCTACCTGTAGCTGTTCCTTGGTGCAGTAAAATGCAGGAAAACAGAAGTTTATAACCTGAGCCTGGAAGCATTCCTTGCTCCAGCTCCAAAGGCAAAGGTTCACGTGCCATCCTGGTGAATGCCCATGTGTCTGGGCTGCCGTTGCTAAGGGAGAGGGAGTATTTGTTTTTAATTGGGTAATGTGCAGATGGCAAGGCAGAGCCTGCAGTGCAGCTGTGACCTTGGGGAGCTGTGGGGAGGCTGGGTCTGCCTTGGTGCTTGTGGAGGCACAGTTCTCCCGAAATCCCCCAAACACCAGTGTAAAGCCTTGCTTTGCATAGCAGGGTTTGGGTGTCTGAATTTTTCAGTAATTCTGTAAGGGTGCCTCCTCGTGTGTGCCCAAAGAGGGAAGAGCAAAACACAAATCAGCCATCAAAGCTGAGGGTTTCTAAATGTAAAATACAGCTCAATGTTCATACTTGATAGCCTTTTCCCAAGGGATACAGTGTTCTGGAGGGGCTGTAACTTGTCATCCATTCATAAAGGCAGGAAGCTCCCCATCTTTCCTCCAGATTCTGTGATGAATCTGTTTGTCCAGCTGCACAGTGACTCTGGGCAATAGATTGGGAAGACTTTTGTGTTAATGTCAGGAACTTCAGTGCTTGTGAAGAGGTTTTCTCCATATCAGTGGTGTGAATTTTGTATCCTCATCTAGAGTGCTTGTGTAAGCTTGGGGTAAATTCCCTGCTAACTGCCAGAAATTGGGAAAGAATTCGTCATAGCTGCTTCCCAGGTTATTGTGTTATAAAATAGCTGCAGAATTAATTAGTCACAGAAGTTTCATTGATCCACTTCTCACAGCTGCTTCCCAGGTCATTGTGTTATACAAAATAGCTGCAGAATTAATTAGTCACAGAAGTTTCATTGATCCACTTTGTGTTGCTGAATTATGTTGATGTTTTCCTGTTAATTTTTTTTTAAAATCTACACAAATAACCAAAACTGCTCCCTGTCTCTGTGCCAGCTGCGAATCACGGTGTGGTCCTTGTGCACCAAGTCTGTGTCTTACATCAAGTACCCCAAAGCATGCCAGCAAGGTAAGTGTCACACACCTGGCTAGGAATGGTCCTTTAATGTGGCAGAAAGGGCAAATGACTTTAATGTGATGACAAACCCCATTTGTGGGAACAGGTCTGGTCCCATCCCTTCTGAGCAGCACCTGCAGCCAGGTTGTGGTGTCTGAGTGAAGGATTCCAGCTGATCCATGTGCCTGCTCTTCACATGTGCATCTGTGTTGTGTTTGCCTCTGAGGGATCCTTTAAGACCTTAAATTATGCTGGATGTGCTTGTGATGAAAAACATTAATCCAAAGTGACTTTTGTCATCTTCTGCATATGGAAAGGCTGGAAAGGGAAGCTTGTGTCAGGGCTGTCAGACCACATGGCTGTGGTGAGCAGTTTCCTGCCCAAGGCTTGTATCCCAGAGATGACAAAGACAATTATGTATTCCATATAAAATCCAGGAGGATGGGGAGCAATGCCTGAGAGTTGGTGGGGACCCGATGGTTGCATAACTGATCCATTTAGCCAGGCTAAATGAAGTGGTTATTTGAAATCTGTTGGGTTTATATAACAACTGTCAGTGGTTAGATGTGTTTTGAAGCACACTGGAGCTCTGCATCCTGAGAAATTGTACATTCTGAGCTTAAAAATTGCTGACACAATGAATCAGTAACACTGTGCTTTGCCTTGATTAATGTGACCTTCTGTGAAGAGATTGTGGCTCCTCTTTTAGTTCTGCTTTGAATTGCGAGTAACTGTGCCTCGCTGAAGACTCATCAGCTCTTGTGCCTTGTTGTCTGATGTCTATTTAAGCCAGTTTTAATTAATCTGTCCCGTGGCAGGGGTGGCTTTCACCAAGGACGGGCGCTACATGGCCGTGGCGGAGCGACGCGACTGCAAGGATTTCATCAGCATCTTCGTGTGCAGAAACTGGCAGCTCCTCAGGGTGAGCTCTGCCTCTGCTCCCCCTCTGCTCTGGAGGTTACCTGCACATACTGCACACTACTCCATTAGAAACAGTCAGAGTAGCAAGTGCTTGGTGCTTGGGAGATGTGATATAAACTGTTCACACATGGGGTCAGTCCATGGAGGGTGGCACTGCCCCCAGGCTGGATCTCATCAATTTAACCTCACGAAGAACTTGCCTGTATCTTGTGTCACCTCTAATTTGGGAATTCTGAGCCTCACCAGAAGCTGAGAGAAAACTTGGGAATACCCCTAAATGTTTGTTGTGTTCCTGAGTTTTTCCCTAATGAACCTTGTAGTGGAAGCTGTGGCTGTCCCATCCCTGGAAGTGTCCAAGGCCAGGTTGGATGGAGCTTGGAGCAACCTGGGATAGTGGAAGGTGGTGTCCCTGTCTATAGGATGAGATGAGCTGTAAGGTCCTTTCCAGCTCAGACTGTTCTGGGATTATGTGATCCTGTACTGGACTTTAAGACAAGGAATTAGGCTTCCTGGATTTTTGACCGATTCAGTGTAACTAATTTAATTTTCTTATGAAACGCTGTTCATTTGAAGGTATAGAAACTTTCAGCTTTTCTTTTCTCAAAGATCCACTGAATGCAGCATGTATTACAAGAGGAAATATTTTTGTTGCTACTCTGTCATACAAGAAGCTCTTTTGTGTTTGTGGTAGCCCTTGAAAAGTTAAAACTGAACATTCTGTCAGCTTAGATGCAGCAGGATTTGTTGACATATTTCAAATGGTTTTGTGGTTTCTCTTTTGTGGGCAGCATTTTGACACTGAAACCCAGGATCTGTTTGGGATTGAATGGGCTCCCAATGGCTGTGTGCTGGCAGCGTGGGACACGTGCCTGGAGGTAAGAGGAAAAGCAGATTATTTTCTTGAAGAGCTCAAGCTGGTCTTTGGCCATCATGTCTAAAGCAGTGACTAAAACAATTAGTGTTTAAAATGTTTCTTTTGAACACAAAAGGGTGTGAGTCCAGCTTTGTTAAATATTACACGTGTGTTGGGGATGGGTGTCCTTGCAAGTGGATGTCGCTGTTCTTTAAACCTTCAATGACAGCTAATTATTTCTAATTTATCTTGCAAAAAAAAAATTGTAAACACTGCAGGAGCTGCTACTGAATTAATGGAAGAGTGTAAGAGTTTTCTCCAGCTTTACTGACACTGCACTGCACAGTGATTTTACAGTTACTGAAAGTACTCAACCCAAAAGAGAGCAAGGAAGCCTCTTAACTCATAGATGAGGGACCATTTGTAGCTTTGTATTTAACTTGCATGATAAACAGGCAGGTTTTGGCAGGATGATTTGCCTGCCTGTGGTTTTTAGCAGCATTGCTGGATTGGAGTGGCTCTGCTGTGTTTCAGTACAAGGTGCTGCTGTACTCCCTCGATGGGCGGCTGCTCTCCTCCTACCGTGCCTATGAGTGGCCCCTGGGCATCAAATCAATTGCCTGGAGTCCCAGCAGCCAGTTCCTGGCCATTGGCAGCTTTGATGAAAAGGTGAGAAGTGTTTCCTGCCTCTTTTATCTAAATCATATGAAGAACTTTGCCCTAACAGTCTCCCCTTGCCGCGCTTCCTGGGCCAGGTGCGTATCCTGAACCATGTGACGTGGAAGAAGATCACAGAGCTTGGGCATCCAGCAACCATTACCAGCAAAAAGACTGTAAGTGTGGATCCCAAATCCATGGAGACCTTAGCAGAGCTTGGGTGCTGCCGTTTGTATCTGAAAGATGCTGCTGAATCCATTTAATTCTGGAGACTTTTGGATTTTTTTTCCTGCCAGAGCTTGGGAAATTGCATGGTAACCTGGGAATGTAACAAAAATGTGGGAATCCTTTAAAATTTGATGGAATATGTGTCTATGGTCATCTCTCTTGAGCAGTAATAGATTCTCCTGTCACGTGCCTATGTATTTTGGGTGTAGGTGGTGGCTGCATTACAGATTTGAGTGTGCAGCTGATGGCAAACTGGAAAACTGAACAGGAGAGATTTGTCTCAGCTTTATACAATTCCTAACTTTAAACAGTGCTGGAACTGGATTGTGTTCAGATTTTCCATCCTGTGTGGACAGGCTCATCCAGCTCACCTAAAGGGCATTTCCTGGAACATCTGTCAGCATTGATTTTTATCCTTTATACCTGTACCTGCAAGGCCTGACAGATTCTGGGCTGTTGGCAGCAGGTGCAGAGCTGCTGTTCCCAAAATCCCGAGCTGATCTCATCCCTGGAGGTAATGAGAACAGTGTGTGGTGCTGTTTGCCATTGTAGAGGGACTGAACAGACCTCCTGGAAGAGTTTGTGTATGGATTGTAAGCCTGCAATATTCACATGACTCTGCCTCTTAACCAGAAGCCAGGCACGAGCCATTAAAGCACCTCAGCAAAGCTTCTCACGGCTGAAAAATGCCTTAACTTCCAGTTAGGTGTAAAATATGTCATGGAAAACAAATGGAAATAGCTCTGTTAATCTCCACTACACAGACAGGAATTGCAGTTGCTGTGTTTTATCCTGGTGCTTGTGTTCAGGAATATGTTGCAGGCACACTAAAATATTTTTGCTATTTTCCTTCTGCAGCGCTGCACTTTGTGACAAAATCAGAGTAAAGATTTTTGGTTGTAAAAATGAGATTCATGTTCCTGCTGTAATGGGGATGATTTAATTTGCTGTCAGAAATAATGAATGAGGTGCACTCCCTGGGGCTAATTCTCTGGAGTGTTTTTCCTGATCATGGTTCCAAATGGCCCGTGATTCACTGGGAATACTGGATTCCAGATCTGCCTGCTGAAGCCCTTTCCTCTGTTGATGAACCAGGGGATGCTGAGATGTACTAAATGTGCAAATGAGCCAGTGGGATGTGGGTATTTGGTAACAGCCCATGTTCAAACTCTCTGAGGCCCTTCTGTAGAGCTCTCACTTGTTTCTTTGTAGATTGTGTATAAAGAAGTGGAGAAATCCCCAACTGTTGGCACAGAGAGACTTTCTTTCCCTCCAACAAGAGCATTGGCTAGTTCTCTCTTCAGCACACAGAATAAATGTAAGCCAAAGTTTACTCAAACCAGACACTTGAGTTTGCCTTGGGAAGTCTTTAAATAAACATTGTAGGTGAACTCTGCCCCTTTGAGAGTGGAACAGATCCTCTGGCTGTTCTCTAGGGCAGTAAAAATCAGTCTCAGTCTTTGTGGGCACTGTAAATCACCTTTGGTTAACAGTGTTTGAAATACTAGTTAAAAGGTAATAGAAAAATTAATCTCTCCTCATTTTCCTGATTTAATCTCAGTCTTGCCTGAATTTCCAGCCTTTCCTTTTCTGTAGGAGGGCAGGAATAGTAGTAGGGTGGCTGTGTGAAGGTGTAGTACCTTAAAGCAATTGAAATTTTGATTGGAACATCTTGAGAAGAGTAAAATATTGTCCTATCACTTCAGAGATGAGGGGTTTTAACAGTTGGATGTAAATACGTTGTCTATCCAGGCTCACTTAGTGAAATACTTTTATTTCCTGTTGCAGATGACATTTGCCAAGTGCCAGTTTCTTTACACTACATCAAACCAGTTGCTGACAGGGCAAATCCCAAAGTGGGAGTTGGGATGTTGGCCTTCAGTGCAGATAACTGCTTCCTGGCAACCAAAAATGGTAAGTTCCGACTGCCCTGCCTTGGAGGGGAAACATGTGGGGCATGTGGGGCTTTCCTTAGCAGAAATGATCCTTTGCTCTATAAAAAGAGTCATGACCCTGTAAAATCAGCTCTGTTGTGAGATAATAACTACAGAGGAATCCCAGCCTGTCTTGTAGTGTGTGTTAACTGTTGTGAGCTGCCAGAACTGCCGATCAGGGCATGAACTCAGCCTTGGCTCTGTATTTAATGAAAATAGTGGGGTTTTATGTTTCTTCAAGTTTGTGTGAGCACACTGTATTGAAAATGAAACAAATCTTCCCCCTTACAGCCTGGGTTTCTTAAAAGGCAGGACTGTAGCAGGAGGAATTCTGACTTCCTGAATAGTGAAAGTCATGGAATTAGTGTTCCATTTTTCCCTTTGGTCCTGAGGACTGTTTGGGCCTGGATGCCAAATCTCTGGGTCAGGTGCAAAACCCATCAGACAGACAAATGTGATAAAAGCCAGACAAGGACTGGGAGATGGACTAGATCACTTTTACCTTTTTTTGCAATATTTCCTGAAGGTTCTGCTTGGCAAAACTCAAGTGGTGCTAACTCTGGGGTGTACCTAAAGGTTTGTGTCGTACAAATTTGTTTCTTCCTGTGCATTTAGAAAAACCACACATGATCCTTTTATCCTCCAGCTATCACACAGTTGCTGCTTCTTCTGCAGATAACATTCCCAACGCTGTGTGGATCTGGGACATCAGGAAGCTGAAGCTGGCAGTGGTGTTGGAGCAGCTGTGCACAATCCAGTGCTTCCAGTGGGACCCGTGCCAGCCCCGCCTGGCTGTATGCACGGGCACCAGCAGAGTGTACCTCTGGTCCCCAGCTGGCTGCGTCGTCGTGAAGGTGCCTGGGGAAGGTGAGCAGTAGCTGCCACAACCTCTCAGCAGCTGCTCAGTTGTTGGAACCTTGGGTGTTGAGAATTTTAGACTTGCTGTGCTGAAAAAAAGTTTCTACCCAAGAGAACACTGCATTTGACCTGAGGCTGTGGAGAAGCTTCCAAAATTGAATGATGAAACTGGGATTGTGGGTGTGGAGTTTGGATAGAAGTGTGTGATATCACAGGGTGGGAAACTTAAAAGAGTTTATGGGTTTAGAATATAGTGATATATAAAGCAAGATAGAGGTTTTAGGGTGGAGGCTGGTCCTTCTTCACCTTCTCCTTCATCACCTTCTTCTTTGAGTGGTTTCGTGTAATTGGATAAAAAAGTCGGCATTGCAGGGCACGGGTGATTGGTTATTGGGTTAAAAGTAAAAATAATTTAGGTGTCATTTCTTAATTGGACAGTTTATCCTTAAAAGGCCTTGTAGAGAGAGAGAGGGCTCCATTTTTAGTTTGTTAAGAGTGAAGTGCTGCAGAACTCATAGTTTGTGAGACTGTAACATAGATAAGAACTAATAAACATCTGAGTCCCAACAAGAAATACCATCTCACACATTTAATCCTGACCTTGACAGAAAAGAAGCAAAGCATCCAGACTCGCTGAAAAATATTATTCCATTTATAAACTGATCTGAGTGTTATCCTGGAAATAGCTCAGGTGTGTTCTTGGAGCTGTTTAAAAACGGGTGTTTTCACCCTCAGGAAAAGAGGAGCTCACAGTGAGACACAGGAAATGTCTCAGGGACAGCACAGGGCTAGCAGGGATTTGTGTGGCTGATTCCAGCTGCCTTTTCCTCCAGCAGGATGGGCTGCCAGCTCCTTGCTGACACACTGATCTCTTCCTGCAGGTGACTTCCAGATTGTGTCTCTCTCCTGGCATTCCAGTGGGGACTCCATGCTGCTCCTGAGTAAGGACCACTTCTGTGTGTGTTACTTGGAAAGAGAAGAAGTAAAATAAAAGAACTAAAATGCATTAAAACTGCTCCCAAGTCTGAGGAAGAAAGAGGAAAGGAGTGAAAACCTGTTGCCCAGTCTGAAGTGTTTGTATTTATAAGTTATTTATTTGAAGGAGCTCCAAGCTCAGTGTGTGAAATACTGTGACTGCATTGGAATGAAGTGATGTAGCAAGTGAAATGTAAGGAATGAGTGTCTATTGCAAGAAAACCTGAATACTGGGGGAGTTGATCTTTTTCAACTCTGAACCCTTATTTTCTAAAACTGTAGCTCTGTGTATATATAATGTATAGCTATTATTTAAATTTTCTATTTCCAATAAATATTTTGATAGTTACAAACTATAAACCTGCACCTCTGCACTTGAAAATCTGTTTCAGTGTGATCAGTGATGTGATGATGTAGTGATTTTATCCCAGCATAAGGAAACTGTTACTTGCACACAAATAATTTTGGGTGACAGTAACTGTGCCTGGGCCACCATGGATTTGTTACACGGAATCTTTGCCAGAGGGATCACAATTTGACACTTCCAAGATGCTGAACTGGAATCTGAATGCTGAATCAGGTAACTGAAATGGGAGTTTTTGTCCCCACTCCAGTGCCACATATGAGTGGATGGTTTGGCAGGGAAGGAGCAGTTGGATATCCTTCCTTGTTTTCCCCTGAGTCCTTCCAAGGAGGGAACCTCTTGTTTAGGAATTTACTGGATGTTTTTTCTTTTGTTACCTAATTTCACAGCCTCAGTCTCCAGAAAATGAAGAACAAATACCAAGTAAGGGTTAAATTTAACTTTACTGCAAGGTTAATGAAAATTGAACAGGTAACTTAGAAAATACATGGAGAAGCTTGGAAAGCTGGAGTCAGGACCAACTGCAACAGGAGTTTCACAAACACCTACATTAAGATGAAAAAAACCCCCCACTGTGGCACAGTGTTCATCCAGCTCTGATGAAAGGGCATGGAGAGAAGGTCATGCACAAGGAAAAAGCTTGTTAGAGCCACCTCCTGAGCAATTACAGCTGTAATCTCTTGGGCTGCTTCTGAATTTCATCCCTGGATGAGAGGTTCAGTGCAGGAATGTACGAACCAAGGCTGACACACAGTGCTGAAAGTTTTCTCTGTCTCCATTAAAAAGTCCTGGCCCAAACTAGAGCTGATTTGAGAAAGATGGCTAAGAGTATCAGTCTAACCAAAATAGAATTCCTTTTCAGTTCTACAAAGAACAGCTTTGAAGGCAAATGTGTTTGTGAGGCTTTTGGCAACGTTCTCTCACAACAGTCTTTATTCTATGGCTGCAGCAAAGAAATAGAAGTAGAGAGGAAGTTCCAGTAGGTTCTTAGAGGGATTTTTACAAGAAGCTCAGAAATGCATACTGAGTTCACAAACTGCTGCTGAGCAGGTGGAACAGTGCAGCTTTAGCAAAAGCTAGCAAATACTGTTAAAGACTGACTGACAGCTTTGAAAATCCCTAACAGGCATTAATCAGAGCACTGAGATCATGGTGATTGGAACAGCAATTCCTCTTGAACAACACAAAGCAGTCCCAAGCACACACAGAGTTTGACACCATTCACAGGGGCGCAGCAGGGCCGTGGCACAAAGGTTCTGCTGTGCCCTGGGGGTTTCAGCAGGTTCCAATGGCACTTGATGGACTGGGAAGAGCAGGCACTGGGACACAACAGCATGGCTCATTCACCCTGCATAAGGACCAGTGAGGGCTGTAAATCAGGTACAAAATACAAGGCTGACACCACCCTGTGTCTGCTTCAAATACAGCCTGTGCATTCCCTAAACAACCTGGGAACTGTCCTCAGTGTCCCCCTCTCTTTTCCTTTCCTTCCCCTGACCAACTTTCCTTTATCACGTGCTCTGCCCTCAGCACCCTCTCCCCAGGGCACCACCACCAGCAACTCACTTGCCCTTGAACAGGTGACACACAAGGGGGTTTAAAATCCAATTTTGCCTCTTGTCATGGAGTAGCCCAGCTTGGCCTCGTTGTTGATGAAGGACATCAGTCCCAGGTAGGTCTCGATGAGGATGGGCCGCTCCAGCACCAACACCCCGTTAGCACTGCCTGGCACTGGGCCCTCCTTGTGGGCTTTCTTCACTGCCTGGATCAGCTGTGTCTGAAAGTTTTCCAGCTGGAAGAAAAGAAATCATCTTGCTTTTGCATTGTTTTGCAAACTGTTAAGCAGATAGGGAATGGTGAAGGATTAGCATTAAAGCTGTAGCTGTCAGGGCTCTATGGGCTGTGATAGTCACAGTCTGATATTTAACCTCAGTGATTCAGTGATTTCACACAGGACACTGCTGATATGTGACTTAGGGTGAACATTTATCAGTGACTGGGTGTTTATTTCTGACCATGGTTCTGCCCTGATCACTGATGTGTTATGCTTAACAGTGTTCTAATTTTAGGCAAACCTTCAGAGGGAAGCACCTATTACAAAAAGAACAGAGAACCAACTCGGTGAAGGTTTTCAGTGAGCAATTAAACTGTCTGTTAATTAGCTGGCAGATGAGAAGTCCATGAGCCTATTGGGTAAGTAAGAGCAGAAACAGCCCAAGACCCATTTGCTTTTGGGCTTTACAGGACTGTGCATCTTTGGAAGTTTTGTCTTCTGTGTTTCGTCCAGTTATGGGTGACTGGCAAAAGTGGGCAGTGGGGCCACCTTGCAAGTCAAAATTTGGAGACTGGGGAGATGGAGCTCCCAGTTCCACCTCTGATGTAACTGATTTTGTTTGATTAACTGATGTGTTGTGTTGAAGTTGTGTCTACCCTACGAGCTCAGCGAGCTGCCTGGAGCAGCTCCTTACCCGGCACAGGGACGAGATCTTCTCATCAGCATCTGCCATGGGGTGCTCGGTGAAGGTCACGTAGGGGATGTTGGTGGACCAGGGGTTCCACCTGTTGATGAAGGAGGCTCTGCTCTGCTTGTCCCACTGGATGCGGATACCGACACCTTCCCTCCTGACAGTGCAGAATGAACAGGGGAAAACTTGGCTTTGAGCAAGGTTAAGTACACATGTTCTGTCTGAAAAAGACCTACTTGGAACCAGAAGCTGTCTTGACATACAAATTATAGTAAATTTTACTGAAGGAAAGAAACGCAATAATTCAGCCCCTGGAACGTGCAAAGGGACATTCTGGCCACCTGGGACTCTCTGTCCATCCTTCACAGCCTGTGACAGCCCCTGTGTACAGGGGACCTGCCACTCACAGCTTTCTACTCACACTGAGCTGGTATTACTACTACTGCATTATGTAATGGTGAGCGTTTCTGCTCCCCAGTCTACTCATCTTATCTTGAAAGTTCTTGAGCAACTTGCTGTTAGTGCAACTACTCACCACCCCAGCAAACCAGCAGCTACCCTGAGGACTTCTGGTAAAGCTTCAGGAATTGTTTGCAAAGTTAAGCAAACAAAAGGAAGAATTCTCAGACCATTCCAGTGGTCAGGCTGACAGCTCAATCTGTTCCAAATAACCTGTGGCTGCTTACTTGTTGAGAGATTTGGGTGGGAACACAAACTCCCCCACGGAGATGGTGTCCACAGCACTGAGGGCAATCCTGGTCACATGCTGGCACTGCAGGCTGATGAAGTTGTACTTGCAAACCAGGAGGGACCAGTCCGTGATGAGGACAAGGCGCTCCTTCTCATTGTTCCAGTGATCGATTCTGGGGAGAGAACGCCACTGAGCTTTAAGTGCTTCTGACTCCTGGCTGGGAACACTCAAGAGTTTGGCAGAAAGCAGAATTGCTGAGGAGAACAAATCTCAAGTCCCGGTGACGCTGTATTTTCTGTCACTTTGCTTTGAATCAGCAGGGCCAGTGCAGGGCTGAGAGTCTGTGCCCTGCTGCACACATGGGGCTTTGGGACAGTTTGTTAAAGCTGTGCCAGAGATTTACTGCAGGCGTGGGTTCCCTGTGGGACTGGATTTCGTAAGGGGTTAACTAGGGAGTGTTGATCTGGAGCTGGAGGGCTGGGTTATAAAGAAATAATGAAATAATGATGGCTGCAGCCAGCCTGGGCCACTCCGGGCCCTGTGTGGGCGTTAATATTCGCCAGGTTACATACAGAACAGCGCTGCGGGCTGCGCGGCTCTGGACCAACCCCGCGGGGCCGAGGCTGCCCTGGCTCTCCTCTCCCCGCCCGCAGCGCCCGTCCCGTCCCTCATGCACTCACTCCGTGAGCAGCCACACGCTCTGCACCTCCCCGTCCTCGGCGGGCAGCACGACCACCCGGATCTCGCTCACCGCCTGCTCGATGGTGCCGGGCTGCGGGGGAGAAGGCAGAGTTAGGGCGTGGAGGGGAGAAGGGAGAGCTCAGGGCTGCGGGAGAGAAGGCACGCAGAGGTCAGGGATGCGGAGGGAGAAGGCAGAGTTAGGGCGTGCGGGGGGAGAAGGCGGACAGAGCTCAGGGCAGACAGAGCTCAGGGCCTGAAGGGGGAGAAGGCACAGAGAGGTCAGGGCTGCGGGGGGAGAAGGCAGAGTTAGGGCATGAGGGAGGAGAAGGCAGACAGAGCTCAGGGCTGAGGGGGAGAAGGCAGACAGAGCTCAGGGCTGAGGGGGAGAAGGCAGACAGAGCTCAGGGAGCCGCGGCCGGCCCGCTCCCGTCGCGGCGCGCACCCGGAACACGAAGTACTGTCGCAGGCGGCCGGCGCGGCCCGCGGTGCGCACACTGAGCGGCCGCAGCGTCTGCCGGGCCGGCGGCACGGCCGGCTCGAAGGGCGGCCCGGCTCCTCCCGGCACCAGCGTGGCCGCCCCGGGGCTGCCGGGGCTGCCGGAGCCGCCGGCCGGGCCGGACTCGTCCGCGTCCCGCAGCTGCAGCATCGCGGCGGCGCCGGGCGGGCGCTCGGAGCCTTCCGGGGCGGAGCGGGGCGGGCGGAGCGGCCGCGGGGCCTCTCGCTCCGCGCCGCGCCGGGAGGCGGCACTGCAGCCCCGGCAGGGATGCTCGGCCGGTACCCGGCGGGATGCGGGACGCACAGCTCCGGCCGTCGCACGCTGGGGCTGTACAAAGCGCTGCGTGCTGTCATTATCCCTCGCTCAGAGCTGATTAGGTAGCGGGTACCATCACTGTCGCA